GGGTCCAAGGCCCTGGGCTCGCCCGACTGGGCAGCTAGCTTAGACTGCGAGAGTTTTCGTTCCGGGCAGGTGAGGGTTAACGCGGGAGCCTCGCGCATCAGCTCCATCCCGGGCTGAGTCACCCGCACTGGGCAGCCTTTGAGGGGTAGCCACCAAACAGCCCCGGGCGCTGAGCTTTGCTCTTGGCTCCGCCACCCTCCCTTCAGCCTACTTTTCTCCTCCACCTCCTCTTTCGTCCTCTCCTACTCCCCAGCCGCTTCCGGGGCGCTCTCGAACCTGACTCCAGCCTCATTTTCTCCGGGAAAACCTGCCCTAGCCCAGAACCACCCCCACCACCACCCCTTCTCCTTGTTCCAGCAGGTGGAGAGCCAGGCTCAGGGGCATAGGGTGGTGAACCTAGAACACTCCCCATGCCCCCGAGGCGCTCACCTCTGCCTGCGGGACAAGAGCTGGGCGCTGGCAGTCCTGCTGCTGGGTGAGAAGCAGCCTCGCGCAGAGAAGGCCCTGCCTAGCCCAGCTAAGGGAGTGAGGGGGCTGGAAGAGGACGCTGCTGGAGAGCTGCTGCTTCGGGGAGTGGGACACTAGATCGCTGGTCAAGGGACAGAGTGCAAAGGCCACAAGCCACTGAAATTTTACTCCTAGGTTACCTACCTACTCAAGAGGAAGGGAAGCATGCATCTCCTCCCAAAAGGTGACCTCACCGTTCATAGCAACGTCATTCATAACAGCCCCAAAGCGGACACAACCCAAACGTCCCATCAAGGGTATGCATATGGTGGAACATTAAGGTACTGGGGCACAGACGGACCCTACAAACTACGCCGAGGGAAAGAAGGTCCAAGAGCCTATGTGTTGTGTGATCTCACAGATCTGAGCCGTCCAAAGGCAGATTAGTCCGCTAGTGCTTGGCCGGAGGGGACGGGGAAGAGGGGGCTTGGCTGCTCTTGGTGCTGGGTCTCTGTGGGATGATACACTGTTCTCAATGATGGGGAGGGTGGCACAACTCTGTAGCTAGCCCACAAACGACTGAGTTACATGCTTTAAGGGAGCGAATGACCAGGTGTTTGACTTCTATCCTAATAAAGTGTCTTTTTAAGAGGGGTCAAGAGAGCCCAGAGGCTAGCTGATAAGGTCAAGGGTCCATCTGGAGTTGATTGAGCGTCCTTCACACACAATCAAGGCTATTCCTGCAAAGCATTGCCCTGGTGGTGACCCGTCTGCCCACTTGGGGACCCTGTGTTTCCAGACATAGACTCATATCTGGGTTTGAAATACCAATAAGTGCCATGCTTATCTTTATCGTCCAGGCTGTTTGGTCAAGCAACTATGAGTAGCCAGATTGCCCGGGCACTTCAGTGAGCACCCACTGGGAGGAACCCCCACTGGG